TGATACTGTACACCTGAAAATGCTTCTAGGAAAGAAGTTTTAAACTAACAACCTTGACCGGTTGCAGCACATTTCAAACGAAGTGCTCCGAGCCAAATCGGGCGTGAAAGACATTACTGAAGCAGTGTAAGCCAGCAAGAAGAGATGGGCTGGTCATTTGGCATGGATGACAGATAACAGATGGACGAAACGGATAATGGAATGGTATCCACGCACAGTAAAGCGAACATTGGGGAGGCCAACAGTGAGGTGAAGAGGAATCCCATGGCACGCCTGTATGGTATTACGTGATCTCGGGAAGTGCAACAACGACGTGAATGGAGAAATTGCCAGCTGCGACAATGGCTCAAGTAACTTTGGCATCCGTTAATCAAATAACTTAAGTAATCGATGGCTCTAGTAAGTAACCTTGACAAGTAATTCGCAAGCAATCGCATAATCGTACAAGTTCACCACTTTGCATGACCAGGGAGCCGTTCACGTCATGATACGGCATGTACTGCGCATTAACTGTTACCACTTCTAAATTTACAAAAAAAAAGACGTAAAAATAAATTACGGCTTTTTCAACAAGTCATGCGGTTTTAGCAAAATACCTGAGAATTGGTTTAAATTCCTTTTTTTCTGCGATGAAAAGCACTGAGAGATTCAAAATCGAAATGATGGGAAACAGCTACACTGTTCATCACTGATTTATCAATGTTTTTTACATAAATTTGACCCAAAATCATAAAAATCTGGCAGAAAATCCGGCATAAAATAAACAGACTCAAAATTGGCATAAAAATTACGTTTTCGACGCCTTCTGGATCGTCGTACGCCATCCTTGGAGCTGCCCGCAAAAATATCCAATGCCGCAATAACGGTAGCTTCACCGGGATTCTCGAAACGTAGCCTGTCCAGCTCTCGATTAGACAGCCATCTTTTTCCTGAAATCGTTGTAGAGACCCGAAAAATTAGAGCTTTCTTCTCAATGTGCACTAAAATTCCATCCATTTTTCATTACTTCATTCACAATATATTGAGTGGCAACTGTAGTAACGGTAAGAAATGTATACGAATCAAAGGAATCAAGGGAATCAACTAGCCGTTGAATGAGATTCTTACAGTGTTCTACCCAACTAACTCCGGGGAGAATTTCAACGAGTGAATTTTTTCGATTTTTTTTTTTTTGATCAAAAATGTTTTTTCGTAAAATTACTAAAAAACAAACCTGACTTGGGCTTTAAAATATCCCGATCATCATTTCTGGATTCTCTGCTGTCCTCACTCGAACTCGTATTCCCCACCTCGCCGGTCATTTCGTGAATCCCTGAAAGAAAGCAGAAAAATTCTGCTTTATTTAATAAGCCAAATTCCGATGCCCTACAGCCAGCAGCCAATACAGTCATATCATCGAATTTCATGGGTCAGAATTAACAATATCACCACATTACCCTGAGGGCCTAAAGTCTGCAAGTTGTACATGTCATACGGTTTTGTGTCACAGGAACCGGCCCTACTATCTTTCCCATCATAACTTATTAAACTAATCCACCGCAGATAAAAATTTTCGGGATGTGGCCGTTCCACATTTTCCATGTTTTTTCGGGAAAATGTGCAACGGCTACAGTCCGATGCGCACCGATCACTGAACAAGAAATGAGCCTCAGAGGGACAACTAACCCTTCTACGAGTTGTTCATTCGTTTCGATGGTAAATTGGCCTTGGCGTATCTAAGAAACTGAAAAGCACCACGAACTTGCTTGCAAATTAATCTTGAAAGAGGGAACTCCTGAAAAAGGCCTTGTCAGCCGGTATTTGCCATTGGCATTTGCTACCACTTCGGCTACTTCCCGGATGCCCATTCCATGCCAATATGGGAGTTTTAAATTCTGTTTTTGACACAACCTCAGCAGCTACAGCTAAAAAACTGGCACAGGCTAACAATCCTGGCAACGAGATTGATGTCCTGTATGCGCAAACCCGAAGCCCATAACAATTCAAACCCCGCAAAAATGCAGGGCACGTGTCTCCAACATTAAAGATCTCAAACCCGCCAGAAACAAATGCAGCCGCCAGAACAGAGGAATGACCCGGGAACTCATTCTCTCCCAAGTTTGATTTGGTTTCCGTTGTGAGACCAAAGTCTCAATTCGTCCAAAGACCAAATCCGGAGTAATTTTGAAAAATAATTTTTGTTTCAGGACTAGGGGCGCATATATAAGTTATTTAAGACCGTAATTTCGTGCATATACAAGTTATCAAAGTCCATCGAACTTCCGCTTCTGGTTCCCGTAGATCCTCCGACACAATCTCACATCTAAAAAATTCGCGAAATTTCTAAAAATTCAAAAAAAAAAAAAAAGAATGATATAAATGCTGAAAAAAGTCCTTTTCTTTTACTTCTTACACTACAAATATGCATTTTTTCAAGATATTTGCGAGCATTTCTGGAAGAAACAGATTTTTTATTTCTTGATTAACTGCAATAACAGAAGCAACTAAAATAAAAACATCAGTGTTTTTCCTTTCAGTGACTT